TGCGGGGGGGCGGCGCCGAGGGCGATGGGCAGGCTGATGCTACCGATGCGCGGGGCTTGCTCCACTTGGCATACCGTACGGTAAACCATCCTCTGATAGGAACTGTGGTCCTGAAGTGATTCCCATTTGTTTTGTTTAGGAATTGTAGGTTGATTTTTATCGCTTCCCACAGACGGCGCCAAACTGTTGACGCAGAAAAATGGTTCGGCACTTTCCCGCGCAACTTGGTGATTAAGTCTCTTCGGTATCTGATGTCCTCGGTAGGGCGTGCAATAGCAAACACACGGTAAGTCCTAGGACACAGGTGTGGTACCGGCCGAAGGCTCTCCGATGCTTAAGTAAGTTCGGATTTAGTAAAGTTGAACTACAGATCAATAGGGAGTATGCCGTAAGTTCTGATTCATTACCTCCAAGCTGGGATGGTTGTCTTTTTTTATAGGCCTTGGGAGGTGTGCAATTTGTTTAGAGTTTCGATGTGGGACTCTGGATATCAGTTGTGGGACTGCCACGCGTCCAAGGGGGCGAGGTTGCGATAATGTTTCGATCGGTAGGTCTTGTACCGAAGGTGGGTGCCGAAGGCACCCCATGGCCCTGGTTTAGCCCACGTGTTCGATATTCATTGGCTGTTCATTTTGGTATAAACAATCGTAAACTTACCTCTTTTGGTAGGCTTGCTTACCAGTGGATATTCCAGGAGCCAGAATTTAGCTTCACAACCCACAGTGATGGTGGAGTGGTATGTTCTTATCATGTCACTCCCTTCAAGCAGTTAAACAGAAACTGAGTACGTTCTGGATTGTTTTCAGAAAATTACTTCAACCGCGGCAAAGAAGGGAGGTTGCTCAACTGCAGCTGTGGCAGGAGCACATATACATACAAGAATGCAAATTTTGACTGTCGAATCGATACGGATTCAATAGTGGGTGTGGCTATATACAACTTACTGTTACCTTAGAAGTTTCAATTTGTGTGATCTTCATTTGTAATTAGCATTTTGTATTTACCCTTGTGATGACAGATTACTGGAACCCTCACTTTAAATGAGAAGTTTCTGTCAAGCACGAATACTAGCGCTTCATTCAGCTTGCCTGATTACCAATCAAGCAAGGTACTTGGTCTCACTATTGCATATTGGAAAGAAAAAAGAATATATATTCAATCTTGTTGTGATTACTTCTGACCTGAAAACAGCTCTTAAAAATTTATCATCGCTCAGATGATTACCTTTTTGTACTGGCTCAGCTGATCACTAGTGAGAAAGTTCAAACAAATTGAAAATTGTCACTGCTAATTCAGAATTTCTACTGTGAGGACAATAGCTTTCTAGCTTCTGCCAACCTTTATTTGAGACATTTTTGGTTTGAAATACTACAAGAATTGGTGCTCTAGTTAGGAAATATGTGACAGGAAAAAGAAAATTTCTGTGACAGAAATCGCTCATTTCCTCAGGACACGTTTTTCAAATTGCCACTTAACCTTTGAACAGATTGTTTTTTGAAGAGACACAGACTAGTCACCCTATCTTATCCCGCACAACAATAATTACTATTTTGAACTAAAAAACAACTCACCCATCTTGATTTTAGCTCCGGGTTCGAATACGCCAAGAATATGCTGCTTTGTCCACATCTGTGGCTTTGAACAAGTCCCCTGCAATAACATTTTCAGCAGCTGTCACTACTACAAAAAGTGACAAAGACGACCAGAAAAAAACGACGGTCTAAGGGAAAACCGTCGTTGTTTTTTAAAAGACGATGGTTCTATAAAACCGCCGTGTAATAACACCTTAGACACCTAAAAAATGGAGATTCAAATGATTATTCATAAACAACGACGTACCTAATTAAAAAACCGACGTCTATTTGAAACAGGATTTCCGCAGTGTAAAATCAAAGCAAATAAAGAACGGCAGAAGTTATGAATCGACCGACGTAGAAAGTAAAGACGACGATTTCAAAAAAAGCCGC